AATTATTTATTATAAATATTTAGTAGTTTAGTATTATTTATTATTATTATTTGCTAGTATATTACCTGGTTACATGATAAACAGCGAACAAAGCATAGAATTCTGTGCAGGAAGTGCCTTAAGCAATATCGAAAGCATTGTGGGAGGCAGAGAAGCAACCAGCAGCTCCAAGTGATTAACAGCAAACACAGGTACTAAAGGGGGTAACAGGAAGAAGAAATATACTTGTGTATCTTGACAGCAGAATGTATTTCAGGGCTTTGCACAAAATATCAAAGCTCATTCAATAACCGAGGATGAAAAAAAAAACAATCCTTTGGCCAGTAAAGTAAAATTTTAAATTCTTGATTAGAAATACATAAATCAGCCACTTGATTCACCTATCTCAAAGCCTTAACTGAACCTATTTCAACATAAATTTCAGATGGTAGGGTTTATGATGGCAGGTTTTTTGGCTTTTTGTTTCCTAATGAGTCTCCAGAACCAACATTTTATAGCAGGTTTCTTAACTTATGTTTTGAGTTCCTTAATTGAAAATCTGCTCCACCTTCTTTCTTTTTTGTAGTCTCCTCCTCCCCCCACCCCCTCAGGAACTAAGAGAGGAAGTATCATTCCGCAGGTATCTATCCGTTATTATTCCCAGTATTGGCAAATTCAATGTCCTTAGCTTATGTTTTTTTTTTTAATTTATTTATTATGTATACAGTGTTCTGCCTGCATGCGTACCTGCTCCCCAGAAGAGGGCACCAGATCTCATTACAGATGGCTGTGAGCCACCATGTGGTTGCTGGGAATTGAACTCAGGACCTCTGGCAAAGCAGTCAGTGCTCTTAACCACTGAGCCATCTCTCCAGCCCCCCTTAGCTTATGTTTAAACACTTGTAGAAAACTATTAATATGTCAACATGCATAATCTGTTGTTCTCATTACATTTACTTTTGTGAACTAGAATTTGTCATCGTATTTCTGAGACATGGGGAGACACAGGAAAATGTCCTGAATTTCTCCTTGTGTTTGGATATATGTGCCCATGATCATATCTCATGCACATGAGTCTAGTCACCTCAGTTCTAAACTTTGTTTTATCAAAGTCAGTGTGCTTGTCTTATTCATATGCCATTCCTTTTCTGTTTCTATCAGAGTTGCTGATTATATATATATATATATGCACATATATAAAATTACATTTCAGTCCTAGATGTTTGGTTACCCAGTCACTATTATTTATTTAAAAGATGAATAGTAGTTCAATATGAGTAACTTAGTTTAATAAATACCTTATTAAGCACCTTGTATGTTCAATGGTTGGTACTGTGATGTTCTCCCAGTCTTTCCAGCCCTGATAACAGATATTTTATTTCACATTGGAGATAAATAAACTAATCTCAGACATGTTAAAGTACTTAAGCAGTAACAGCACCGAGACCCAAGACCCACTATGTTTTCAGGGAAGAAAATCCAACACTTTACCTTATTGAACATTTAGTGTTTCAGGCGTTTCTTTCACAATTGCTAGTGTAAGTCTCCCTCATTGCCTTTCCCCCCACATCCAGCCATTCTTCTCGGACTTGAGACACAGTCAGAGAGAGGCGAGAATGGATGGAGGCAAATGTTCTGTTTCCAATGTAAACCGATACAGCTAGTAATAAAACAACTGTCTGCTTTGAAATGTAAAATGTGTTCCTGCTGGAAATTTCATTCAAAGGTAGTTAAATCTTCTTTCCTTAATTGAATCTTTTGAAATTACATGGTAGAATCAAGAAAAGGTTTGCAGAAAGCATTAGCATACCAAGAAAATATGTTTAGTTAAGCTTTCAATGGAGTATAATAAGCACAGTTTCGTATGAGAAAAATAACACCGTCTAGCTGAAACTCTACCAGTCTGAGTGTTAGACATTGTTTTTTGATTCAAGGTTTCATGATAGCTTTCCCAACTCAACGGGTTTTGTCAAATTGCCACTAAATGTAGATGGAGAATCAACCTATATTTCAGGATGTAAGCATTTTAACTCATCAATAGAAAAAAATCTGAGTATTTATTGTCTTTTTATTTTGTGTTGGTAACTCCTTATCCATTGCCTCAGTGGTTTTTGGTTATTCTCCAGACACTGTCTTAGGTACCTGCGATAATGACGTGTATGAAATAATTAATCCTATTTTCCCTTACTTTTTATACTATAAAGGAGAGAAACAGGACCAAGTAATGAGGGACTAAGAACTAAGTAGAGATTGAAAGAGTTGGCAGTTAAATTAGTTCTAGAAAATTTCCGGTTCACTAAGGGTAGAGGTACAACATACAGCATCTTAAGAGAATAATCAAGCCAAGCTAGGGTAGCAGGTAGATATACCTGTCTTAAATCAAGAGTTTGTTGTAAACTATCAGAAATTAGAACCCATCGAGAGTCAAAAGGTGAAAAACAACATAATTTTAAAAAAATGTAATGAACCTTTGCTTCATGCCAATTACCAAGCAAATAACAAATGATAAAGAAGGCTAGGGGAAATATTGATAGCATCTACAATAAAACTTGATAACACCAGAATGAAGTTACTAATTTAGAGTTGGATATCAGAAAATTAAAGATGAAATGAAAATATTAAAAGTCAATTCTCATTATTCTTAATTTACCCAAAACTAATAAAAACGTTTTAAAGGGAGGAAAGATGAAATCTGAATAATTATTCTTTAGTTGTAGGATCTTATCTATATTTTATCACATCATTAATTATTATGTAACACATAAATAAAATATTTTTACTCTGCTTCTGTGTGGGAATAGCATGATTCATAAGTTTAAAGCCTTCCTGATTTGTGAATGTCTTATTTATGTCTATTTGGTTCAAATAATAGTAAATAATTTATTTTAAATTATCGTTTTTAGTTTATTTTGTAATTGGCATAAAGTGAAAGGTTGATTTTTTTGTGCTGGACGTCATGTTGAATTAGCAGCTTAAATCATAGGTGATATTTTAATAAAGGAATTTAAATTCAAAGCTTTTAAGTTTCTTTTATATTATGCACCCCAGCCTCACCTTTTCTTAAATTCATGCTTATATTTTATAGGGCATAAAAGAGATCCATTAAGCACAAATTACATATATATATTTATACACACACACACACACACACACATATATATATATATATTATAGTCTTCTCTCTCAGTTTCTCCATATTAATCATCTTTTGGGGCTCACAAT